TCCTTTCTTGATAGCAGTGTTCCTCTTTCTCATTATCTTTGAAATATCTCATCAGTGCTTTGGAATATAGTTTAGTTCTTTTAAACCTTGTTTAGAGCCTCATGCTCATCATGATCAGAGAACTTAAATAAAGATTAAAATATATTTCTTGGTGAAAGTGATTTAGTTTTAATAGGGGCTGTACTTTAATTTAGATTTTATTATATACAGTAGGTTCAATAAGCTTATCTTTTACAGTACTGAATACATAGACTTTTTAAAATTTTCAAAGTGATACACTGAAAATATTAGTTTGGTCTGTTCAGTTTATTGCCCCTTATCACTAGCATATTTTGATAAGGGTCAGTCTACCATTATACTTTTGTACGATTTTTCAGACTATAGAATTATATCTTCTGTAAGTTCTGAGATATTAGCACCAAGGATGTAGGCTATAAAATTTTTATGTTGGTATTTCTAGTGTTCCTGCTTGGCATCATTGACTAGATAGAGAGAAAAATGCAAATAATAGATTAGGAGGCAATTTTCTGGTTCCTTTTACACCAGTGGTTATTGTTGTTGGTTGGAGTATCCAAAGAAGTCCTGTGTAGTGCTTTCATTCTGTGATTTTTAAGAAATGTGTCAGAGAACTGCTGTATCTTATTCTTTTATGATTTCCCTTCTGTCTGTTAATCAGGAATCCCATAATACCACTGCTGTTATTGATCGACAGTCATCCTTTTAAGGCAGCTTTACTTAAATTGGGTCTCAGTTTTAGGACATGATTTGACCTATGAAGCATTAAAATCATGTGTTAAGTCATGACAAGGTGTCACTTTACTATCGCTTCCTGTCATTCACTCAACCTTTAACTCATTCAACACATACTTTTGTAGTTCCCTCAATATGCCAGACACAATGTTTTGTACTATGCGTATAGTGAAGAACTAAACAAAGCATACAGATGGAGCACATGAATGTACTTAGGTTTATAATGTTAAAAGAACATATATAATGCTGTGTTCCTTTGGTAAAACTCAAAATGTGAATAGTGTTTTCATAGGTATTCATTTAACACAGATCTCATTTCGTGACTTGGGAGGTCATTCTGAATTCTGTACATGTACAAAGCTTGTGGGATAAATTGGATTTTGGTTCTTTATCTTTTTAAAAAATATATATATATTATTGATTTTTTACAGAGAGGAAGGGAGAGGGATAGAGAGTTAGAAACATTGATGAGAAAGAAACATCGATCAGCTGCCTCCTGCACACCCCCTACTGGGGATTTGCCCGCAACCAAAGTACATGCCCTTGAGCGTAATCAAACCTGGGACCCTTCAGTCTGCAGGCCGACACTCTATCCACTGAGCCAAACCGGTTAAGGCTAAATTATTCTCTTATCCATTACTTTATTTACAGATTTACCGAATATCGACTGTTTACTCGGTATTGTGCTAGGCATTGAGGATTCAATGTGAAAGAGGGCAATTGACTTCTCTCTGCTCTTATAAAATACTTTCTAAGGGAGGAGAGAGATACTAAATACAGTTTGATGGAAATAATTACAGAACATGATAAGCACTAAGAGGAAATAGATTGCCATAACATAAAGGTGGGAAAAGGTGGGTGGACAGGGAGGCCTTTCTGAGGGAATGACACTCACTGACACCCAAATGATAAGAAGATTCAGACATACAAACACCGGGGTAAATGCAAAGGTCTTTGAAGAGTTTGGTAAATCATGGAAACTGGGAGGAGGCTAGTGTAATTGGGGGGTGGGAGAGAGAAGCAAGCAGTATGTGGTGATGTAGACAAGTAGGCCAGAACTGGACTCCCGGGACCCCTGACTATCTTAAAAAGCTTACATTTTATTTTAAACTCAATAGGAAGCCTTTAAAGGCTTCAGGCAGGATGTGATGTGGTCCTTTATGTTTTAAAAAGCCCATTCTTGCCTTGGCCGGTGTGGCTCAGTTGGTTGAGCATCAAACTGTGCACTGCGAGGTTACAGGTTCTATTTCCAGTCAGGGCACATGCCCAGGTTGCAGGTTTGGTCCCTGCTTGGGGAGCATACGGTAGGCATCTGATCAATGTTTCTCTCTCACATTGATGTTTCTCTCCTTCTCCCTTCCTCTCTCTCAAAATAAATAAAACATTTACAAATTAAAAATAAAATAAAAGCTCACTCAGTCTGCTATATGCAAAATGGATTGGATGTGGGCATGAGGACAGGCAGAGACATCTGTTATGACTGGAAGGGATTACTGTTATCAACTAGGCTTAACATCTAGAGCATTGCAAACCTTCAGTCATATTTAAAGGCCTCTGCAGATTTTCACAGTGAAATATCTAGTTATGTCTTCTCTGCAGTCAATTAAAGCTCTTCATGATAGATGTTGGACTATTATACCTAATTTGCTTGTATTCACTCTTTTGAGCCTTTTATAAACCAGGTCTTATCACATTTGCCCTTGGCAGTTTTCTTCTCTTTCAAACCTATTTTCTTTAGTTGTCAATATCAGAATTGTGTCTCACCAGCGTTCCTCATAGGTCCTGGATATATTCTTGCCCTAGTCCTACATTACATTTTCTTTTTGAAACCATAATATAAGGATTGACTACATGCTTGATCAACTTTCATCTATCACTCCTCCTAAGATATTTAGTAATTCATTTAGCAAATAAGTCTTTCAAAGGTAGGTACATGACTTCTCTTTCCAAATGTATATACTATGATATTCTACGCTCATATCCATTTTATTTTAATCATGTAGACAAATTATCTTCATAATTTTAATTCTAGCTTTTTAAATATTGGTTTTACTTTTCATCTTGGTTCCATTTGAAAAGTTCATTAATCATCATCTTGGCCATTCATGGATATATCCTTAGAGAATGCCATCATCAGATCCCAATGCCTAATATGGATATATAACAAATAATCTGTCTGCACACCTACATAACTAATAGTTATTATAATCTATGCATGCATTGTCCAATACAGTAGCCGCCAGCCACGCATGATCATATAGCTTAAATAAAATTAATTTTTAAAAATTTAAAATTTGGTTCCTCATTCACATACGCTAACCACATTTCAAGTGATTAAGTGCCATATGTGATCACTGGCAACAGTATTGAACAAGGCACATATATAACATTTCTATTATTTAGATTTCTATTGGACAGTGCTGTTCTACACTGTACTGTTTTCTGTTACATGGGATGATGTTTAAAACTCTGCAAATAAAGACTTTTTTACTTTAACCATACAGGATAGCCACTCTGTCCTAAACTGTGTGAACTTTTATAATCTGAAAACATTCTGGAAATGAAATGATAGAACTTGCTTACTCAATTGTTTCTATATAGTCCAAGTATATTTGCTAAAGTCATTATGTCAAGTGTTTGGAAAGGTATTTGTTTCAGTCAATACAAAGAGTTTGGGTTGCAGGTTCCATGTCTCTATCCACAAGAGCCAGGAAATAACTTTATATTACACTCATTAGATAAGTTCTTTGGAAAATTGCTTTGGTTATTGCTCTATAGTAAATGCTATAAAATATTTAGTCTGGGATTTACTCACATCCAGAGAATGTTGGCAATACCAGCATTGTTGACACTCCTTTAATTGGAACAAAGTGGGACTATAATAACCAAAGAGTGACTCAGAAATATATCCTTATCTAAATCCTTGAGTGTCTTGATTAGTCTTAGGAAATAGAAAAACATTTGTACTGGAACAAAGACTTTTGACATAGATTATTGTTGAGTTTCTTGTCATCTTGAGTTTCAAAGAAATAAGGGTAGCTTTTCTCTTTATAAATACAGTGCATAAAGGCAATGTGTACAATGAAGAAAAGTAGGAAAGCGAGATTGATGCCATTAGATTTTTCATCATTATACTCCTATCTGATATGTGAATTTAACTAACACAGATACACCTGTTTCAAGTATAGGACTTCATAATGTAATTTCTTTTTTTAATTTAATTTTATTGTTTAAAGTATTTCAAATAGTACAGATGTCTCCTTTCTTTCCCATTGACCTTCCCCCTATAATGTAAATTCTTAACTAATGCTAAATGTTCTTCATAAATTTTTATATAGTACTATTACATACCTAAGATACATTTGAGTATGAAATAAGACACAGATTTCTCATACCAAGACTGTTTGTTTCTTCCTTACTTATTTCTATGCTGTGTTCATTTTCAAATTATTTTACTCACATTTCTTGTGTGTTTTTTTCTATTTGAATTTTTGGTTTAGTTATTATTGAGCAAATTGTATCATTTCAGTCATTTCTAGTATTACAGTTGTGGGGGCATCAACTAAAGATTGTTTCTCCACAAGTTTAAGAGACTACAAAGTCAAATTGATATAGAACAGATTATTTACATATCAAAGGAAGTTAAAAAAAACCACATAGTTGTTAAAATTTTGTTTTGTTTAGTTATGGCATAAAACATTTGTCCATCAGCCAAAAGTTTCCACCTGAGAAAGCCCAAATAGTACAGATAGTGTATATTTTATCTTGAATGCACCTTATCTTTATTCATAAACTGTGAGTTTTTATACGGTTGAGACTTTTAACTGATTTTCATAAATAATAATCTCATCTCTTCCAATAATTAATTGGTCTCATAGAGATTAGCTCCTCATAATCATTGCATGACAAATGAAATTATTTACCTGATTATAAATAACCAGATAAATTATCCGATAGCAGGCTGAGATTAGTCTCTTTATAAGAAACAAAGTTTATTTAAAACATTAAGTTATGATCTTATCTCTCCTGTGAGGTGATGAATACTTCCTGTTGAATGAAGGAAAAAATGACAAAGTATTTAATTCAGTGAAATTTAAATCCCATTAACTTACTACAAATAATGGAAAGAAAGTGAAAATGTAATTGTGTGTGTTTTGTTGTTGGTCATGGTGGAATTAGAGGTGGGTTTGGGAAGAACAGGTAAAGATGGTGGGAAAAAAATCATCTGTGTATTGATTGTTCCATTCTAGGTGGCTGCTTCTTTGGCTGTGTTGTGGATACTTAAAGAGTGAGTATTCCATGTCCTATTGTGTATTGTATTTTGTTACTATTGATTATTTGGGTCTTATTAAGTATTGTAATATCCACTGTGCTTCATTTCCCTACAATATCACAGAAGTGAAAAATGGAATTATTTTGTTTAAAATTGTGAGCATGTGCAGATCCTGCAGCTTTTCACCAATTTCTAAAGAATTCAGTTGTGTTCAGTTTCCATGAAACACAAGGAAAATATTTAAAACACTATATATTAGAATTTTCTCTGAGTACTTAATAAGAATCCATTTTATCTGTTTCAATGGTGAAAAAGTTTAATCTACTTTCTTGCAATAGTAAATTCTTGAGATTGAAGTCATAAACTCTGCTAATGAAATATTCGTGTTTCTTTCGACTCAACTTCTGTTTCCTTTACATATAGTATTGGAAATTCAATGGGAAGGTTTTGTTGCTGAGTAACAATTTCCCTTTTCTTTACAGAACACCTCCACCAGAAAAAGGGAATAGTTCTGCAAGTACCAATAACAGCTATCCAGTGATCATCACCAGAACCAGCGCATTTTATGTTTTTTACATTTATGTGGGAGTAGCCGACACTTTGCTTGCTCTGGGATTCTTCCGAGGTTTACCACTAGTGCATTCTCTAATCACAGTGTCGAAAATTTTACACCACAAAATGTTACATTCTGTTCTTCATGCGCCTATGTCAACCCTCAACACGTTGAAAGCAGGTACCTGACTAGGTTTACAAACTGAAGCTGCCGGTCCACCGTCAAAAGGGCCTGTGATTTAGTTGGTTTTCTAGCAGTAGTGTTGGCTTTGCACAGAGCCATCTGAACTTTGTCGAGCTTCCTTATGACAGGCATGTACATTTCTCAGATACTATAGACTGTCAGGTATTGTTGCTTTTCACATTTCTGTATCAGTTCATTGGAGTAGCTCAGTTTGTTAAAAAGTGATGCTGATGGCATTGCAATAGCAACAGCAGGTCTTTCTGGGCCCGTTGTTCTTCATTCAGATGTTTGGCCTAACACCTTCAAGGCATCTTGCTGCCAATGTTCAGTATTGTTGAAAAGAGTAGAAGATTTGAAGCAATCAAGGAAAACATAGAATTCTTTTACAGATAAAGTTTTTGGTGGAGTAAAATAATCTAGTTTCCTGTAGCTGTTCAAAGTTGATCACAAATTTGTTTCAGGTGTGTTTTTTTTTCCTTCTTTTTTTTGGTGGGGGGGGTGGCTGGGCAAGGTTGGTGGTGGTTGAAATCCCAAATGTATTTTTTTTAATGGAACACTTCACGAATTTGCGTGTCATCCTTGCCAAGGGTCCATGCTAATCTTCTCTGTATCGTTCCAATTTTAGTATATGTGCTGCCGAAGTGAGCACACCAAACGTATTTTTTAAATATTTTTTATACCACCATAGAGGTTGGTAAAAGGTTAGAAGCTTTTAGTTATAAGTAAGCCTGAGAATTTAATGTATAATATGTGACTATGATTGTTAACACCTTATTATACAATTGAAATTTTCTAAGAGAGTGAAACTTAAATGTTCTCACCAAAAGAAAGGAAGGAACGAAGGAAGGAAGGAAGGAAGGAAAGAAGGAAGGAAGGAAGGAAGGAAGGAAGGAAGGAAGAGAGGGAGAAGGAAGGAAGGAAGGAAGGAAGGAAGGAAGGAAGGAAGGAAGGAAGACAGGTATTGAGCAAAAACAAAAACAAAATGAGAGAACTCATGGACATGAGCAACAGTGTGGTGATTGTGGAAGGGGAGGAGGTGGAGGTGGAAAGGGGCATAGAAGACATAAATGGTAATGGGAAAAATAAAATAAATTTTAAAAAATGTAGATATGAGAGGTGATGGGTATGTTAATTCAATGGGAGGAATCCTTTTACAATGTGTACATGTATCAGATCATCACATTGCACACTTTAAATACCTTATAATTTTATTTGTCAATTATACCTTAATAAAAATAAAATCACAAAAAGTAAGAGCAGTGAAATAAAGGGACCAAAGATTTAAAAAACCCAAAAACTAAGTGCAGTAAGGTATGTTGAAAGTAATCAATTCCATTAATTCTCATTTAGTCAAATTGCCATTTAGAGTTTAATAAGGAATTCCCCAAGTTTTATCCTTACAGCAGTCTGCTGAGTACTTACTTTGTGTGGCACTGAGCCAGGGGTTGGTAGGAAAAGATGAATGGGGCACAGTGCCTGCCCTGGAAGAATTCACAGACAAAGGGAGAGGAGGTAGACACAGAAGCATTTGATTATAAAGGAAAGAATAACTTCCAGGATTGAGGATTTTAGAGTGATTTGTATCTATGAATCTCAAGATAAGAAATATCAATCTATTTTTTTTCTGGTTAACAAAATTCCAGTGTTAGTGTTCAGGAAGATCTTTATATTTGTTCTGAAGTCCTTGTGGGTCACTAAAGCCTTGCCTCATTTGGATATACTCATCACCACCACATGTTTTATTTATTTATTTATTTTTAATTTTTTATTGTTTGAAGTATTACATATAGTATTACATATATCTCCTTTCCCCCCATTGACCTCTCCCTGGCCACCCCCACCC